ACCCACTGGTTCTCCCATTTTCACAACAGACTAATAGTAAGTGGGTTCAGGGCTTAGTGTTTTAAAACAATTTTAGACAAATTTGCCACTCACTTTTTACTAGTTTTCTTTTGTACCACTACCCATCAGGGTCAACTCACTGTGTTAGTCAAAACAAGTGTAAAAGCATGAATGTTTTATAAGTGAAGCATAATCCTGAAAAGTTCCTGTTACTAAATACATGGACACGTGACAGATATAAAGCCAATTAACTTTGTGAAAGCTACTATCCACGTTAAAGCTATTCAGATAGCTTTAAATGTGTTTCAGTATTTTCTTTAGCTCAAGAACAGGCTTCGAAAAGTAAACAACCCTACAGCTCCTTAGGTGAAATTAAATAAACCACTACTTGTCATTGTTATTAGCAGAATTGTAAACTGATTTAGAAACCAGCTTTAGTTAAGCCACAGATTTCCATATGTTAAACCAGGGCTAAAACAAACTCAAGACTTCACTTGAACTCCTACAATGTATTACACATTTGGTCACAAAGAATGAACTGAATAACAGATTTCAAAGTAAGGCTATTTCAGCTTATTCACAGTACTTGATATAGTGGAAATGTAACTGCACATTGTGATCAGGTACAGCAATGAAAAATCCTTCCATGAGACTGATATGCTCTAACTTCAAACACTTTCTCCAGTGAAAGTGAAATGGTTATCCCAGAAGACTTTGTCTATGAGAAGTAATGAATCTGCATACCAGCAACAGCTCTTAGAATAATGTTCCAGTGCTACTTTAATTAATATAAAACAAACTTGTCATCTTAAATTCCATTAACAGAATCATGAAATTAAATGGGTTTTTTAACCCTAATTAACTACAGAATTACACAGGTACATTTACATTCCATATGAAGTGCTTTTTAGTCTTGAAGCTCTATGCCTTAGTAAGGCCAATCACACCACAAGCTAGACGAGCACCAGCATTTCCAGTCTTCAAACTTTCTTCATTTCCTCCTCTACCCAAGTCATCTTCTTTCTCATGAACCTAGAAGTGGCAGATAAATCAGAATTATCCCATGTTTTACAACAGCAAACAACTGAACCAACAGAAGTTATTTCTTAGTTCAACAATGATCTGAATATAAACCAAAATAGTTGGGAGAATCCATAGCCCTACACTCAAGGCAAACTGTTCAAAGTTCAGTACCAACACATTTGTGCCAAGACAATAATTACTAATGCTCACAAGTAGATTCTGTCTACATGTTTTAGGAAAAGATCATTTGATCAATGATTACAGTATTAACATTTTTGGCTGTAATCTCACAAGAATTCTTCGTTCACTCGGGTAACTGAAGACCCAATCAGATATGGACAGACTCCCCACCCACCCAGGTCTCAGGTTAACAGGAAACTTTAGAATTTGCACTTGTGGCTGAAAGAACCAATGTTTCCCATAAAGCCTAAGCTATAGTATACTTTCAGACTACAAGACTTTTCAAAAGCAATATCCCCAGTTTCTTTATACGTAAGGATTTAAGTACAACAATGTCAGCTTCTGGAGCAAAGTATTAAAAACACCCTCAGAACTACATGGTTCTATACTTCACATGAAACTTACAGCAAGAAGATTCTGCTATATTCAGAAAATCTGGGCTTCAAGAGCGTTGTTTCCATTTACACAGGATCTTATACACAACCTCCTGGCAAGTTATGCAAGCAAGTATGTATCAGCCAGCATAGTGGTTATTGTCAGACTATGATCTGGGAAACCCAGGTTTGAACCCCCACTTGCCATGGAGGCTAGGCCGGGTGACTTTGGGCCAGTTACACTGTCAGCCTAACTTACCTGACAGGATTGTTGTGAGGATAAAATGGAGAAGAGCTACTTTTGGTCATCGGGGAGAAGGGGAGGGTACAAATGAAGTCAATAAAGGAAATGAAAAGCAGCAGTTCTCTGTTTAAGCCTTACAGTCAGCCCATACCATAGACTTAGTACTTGAGATACACAGCAAAGATCTTCATCGATCTCCTAACCAAGATCATCAATCTGATACCCTTCCCCCACAGAACCTGTAGGGAGGCATATGTCACAGTAATACTTACCACCATGGAACGTCCAATAATTGAATGTGGTCCTGAGAGAGAAATTATATCATCCTGCATTGCCAATTTTGCCACACCTGAGGCATCTGCAGTCACGTTTCCCAGATCCCCAACATGCCTGGAATACAATTATTTGTCTATTTAGCTAGCAGATGCTAAATGAGGTTTTGCTGGGTGCTACTTGCCACACCCATTGTTAAAGATGGAAAGCTGATGGCTTCAGTGAACTGTAGTCAAGCGTTAAGATACTACAACTCTATCACACTAAATTTACAAGTTAGCACAATACCTAGCTTCTATATGCTATATCTGCTTAATATTTTCTCCATCTTGGTAAGAAAGCCTTTTTCAGCCATGTAACCTAGCTATGCCTAAAAGCCATGAAAATGAGTCCTGAGTTGACAAGGAAGGTCAAAATCAAGGACCAAAAACTAGCATTAATCTTAAACACTGGCGGGTAGCTTTAGTATCCTGTTCTAGCAACTGCCATGCTGATCCTTTACTGATGTCCAAATACTGGAATTCTCCACACACACAATTCCAACAGCATCAGCTATAACAGCAACACAGGGAGAGGTATTTAGAGTTTTGGTGTACAGAATTCTAGGAGGTTCTAAAGAGTTCAGATGGGGTTCTACTTGCAATTTAGAGTTCCCTCATTAGGGAACTGATGCTTTCAGTGTAATGGAAATGCTCTCAAGTATTGACGCCTGACTGTATAGTTGTTATACTGCTTGTTCTAGTTCTTGTATTTTATGTAATCCTGAATAAACTACATGCAGGACAAAGTTCTCTTGGTCTGAATCACATATGACTAAACCAATACCCTATTTCAGTATTTTTCAAGAGATGGTGTATGAATTACCTACATTTACATGCTTTCTTTTAAGTAGCCGAAGGAGCTACTTGACACATTTACTATTCATAGGCAGTTAAAAATCACCTGATGGGCACAAGACTCATTGTTACCTGCTACAGCTGGGCTGCTGCAAAGCACTGAATGATTATCAACAATTTATATGTTGAAATGGTCAGGCACTAAAGTTATTTACCAACATGGCTTTTAGAACGGATAAAAGGAAGTACTTCTTCACCCAAAGAGTGATTAACACAAGGAATTCACTGCCACAGGAAGTGGTGGCAGCTACAAGCATGGACGGCTTCAAAGGGGAATTAGATAAGCATATGGAGCAGAGGTCCATCAGTGGCTATTAGCCACAAGGTATAGATAGGGACTCTGGTGCAAGTGATGCTCTGTCTTCTTGGTGCTTCGGGGGGGTCAACAGTGGGAGGACTTCTAATGTCCTGGCTCCACTGGTGGACCTCCTGATGGCACCTGGTATTTTTGGCCACTGTGTGATACAGAGTGTTGGACTGGATGGGCCTTATGTTCTTAAGTTCAGTTCTGTAACTGAACTGACAAGTAAGTTTGGGTAGAAAAACTCTCTTGGGCCCTAGAGATAGCATTAAGTATGCTACGGCCAGAATAGGGAGAAATCCAAAGTCTAGGGATGCAAAAAAGGTATGAAGCATCACAAGTAAAACAGTGGTAAAGGAAGAAAAATTCACAAGACAGTCTGAATAATGGATTGTGGATTAAGTATCCGTGACAATCTAGCTTGCAAAAAAAATCCACACATGGCCTTCAAATAAAAAAGGTGTGGATGGGAAGCAGTGTGGTAATAGGGGCAAATGAGTAGGAATTATGGATATGCTAGTGTGAGCAAACTTCAGAGGATGGCGGAAGACAGAAAGGCCTGGTGTGATCTGGTCCATGGGGTCGTGAAGAGTCGGACTCGACTGTGCGACTGAACAACAACAACGAAGTGTGACCTTATGAAACAGTGCCTTAAAGTCACAGAAGGTAAGAAATTGTTCTATGCTCACCTCACTGCATCCTCTGGCCCACCATGTGTTTTGTTCTCAGGATTGAAGTGAGCACCTGCACTGGTACATCCTGTCAAAAGGTACCAAAATATCAACATCTCTCCACATACAAACATTACACAAATCAGTATTGGCAACTCTTTCCATGAACACCCTTGGTGGTATTTTAGACACTTAAAGTAGTACACCTAGTCAGTTAACATGTGCATGGTCACCTATTCTCATTTTACTTTTTAAAAACACTTGTGAAAATTCTGTCATGAATGCCAATTCTTTCTTCACTAAGACTTGACAAGAGTTCCTGTGCTTGCAGACATATGCTAGGGTGATACACTATATTAAGAACTGAAGATAATATACAAACACCTTCAAGGCCTCCATCGCAATTCTACAGAAGCACTGAATCAATTTATAATGCTCTTGACAATTTTACTATTAACACTAATGATTTACTGCAATGTAATAACCCAAATTCTATTCTTATATCAATGTCATCAAAACACATACACAGTAGCTATCAATAATTAAAGCATAATTAATATTACCATTTGTGTTGTCTCCAAATTCATGGACATGAAATCCATGTTTTCCTGGAGTCAAACAGTCAATATGTCCTGAAATAAATACTGGTCCATTAGCCTGAAACAAAGAAAACAAACCTGAGATATTTGTCAGAAACCATTTCTATCTTCAGTACAAGACAGTTTGATCTCTTCAACATTTAATTAAGCCAAAAGAGACCTAACATTCTTTTCAGAAAAGCCGAAAGTGCTGATCTTTAGTCATTTAACTGGCTTCTCAACATTAGCAGGAAAATCTTTCTTCTTTATTGTCTTTCCTTGCTCTCCAGCAATGGTGTTCTAGTAGCATGCTGTACAGAGGTGTAATGGTTTAAGACACATGCTTAAGCATGTGAGTCTGTAGCAGTAAAGTCACCACTGTTGAGGGAAATGGCAGTTGGAGACTCTTAGAAATTACACCGACTTGTCTTGGGGCATGCTCTTCTGCTGGTTATTTTTGTGACCTCCACATGGTATCTAATGTTTAAAATGGGTTGCAGCACAATGCCCAAGACTTCCGGTGTACACTTCTCTAAGCTTCTTCCCCACAGTTCAAACCTAAGAGATTCTGTATGAAGAAGTTTTTTAGGATATTAAAACTAGAAGCAGACTGCAAAGAGCTCCAAAAGAATCTACATAAACAGAATGAATAGGCAACAAAAGGCACATGGGGCTTAAAGTAACCAAAAGTAAACTACTGTACAGAATTAAAAATGCTAATTTCATGCATATGTTGATGGGATTAGCACTGACTACCTAGGAAAGGAATGCTGGTTGTAGCAGACAGTTCAATGAAAACGTAGCATCTGTATATGCCAATTTGTTGTAGTGGTTAAGAGCATGGACTCTAATCTGGGAGAACCGGGTTTGATTCCCCATGCCTCCACTTGCAGCTGCTGAATGACCTTGGGCAAGCCATAGTTCTGTCAGAGCTGTTCTTGAAAGAGCAGTTTCTGTCAGAGCTCTCTCAGCCTCACCTACTTTACAGGGTGTCCGTTGCAGGGAGGGGAAGGGAAAGGAGTTTGTAAGCCGCTCTGAGACTCAGTGAAGGGCAGGGTATAAATCCAATCTCTTCTTCTTCTAAAGGTGGGTGACTGAGAATGAAAATGTGCAGCAGCAAGAAAGCTAAATCCCTACTAGAATTATTAGGAAACATAACAAACAAAACAGTACCCTGCCTTTGTATTCCAGAAAAATACGGTGAAGACGGAGTTATTCCGCCAAGCATTCAACAACTTGGATTGAGTATGTAGCACTTTATAGTCGCCTTCCTGAGTAGGTTATACTGTGTGTAAATTGTGATTTTAATGTTTTGTAGATTGTTTTAGACAAGCTGTTTTATTGTTGTACGCCGCCCTGAGCCGCTTCGGCGGGAGGGCGGGATAAAAATCAAATAAATAAATAAATAAATTTATTTTGAATACTGGGTGCAGGTCTCCAGTAAGGGAGCTAAAAGTAGGCAACCAAACTGGTCAAGGAATCGGAGCATCCTTCTAACATGAAAAGGTGATTTGCACCTTTGAAGGTTATATCATATGCAGTACTGAGTCCAACCCATTGCTTACATTACAACTCAGATCACACTATGGAATTGATGGACACAGAAGAAACACTTTACACGCAACGTACACTCTTAACTTAGAAAAGATGCTGCTACAAAATATGGCAATGACCACTGGTTCAGATGGCTTTAAAGGGAAATTAAAAAAACATTCATGGAAAGCAGTTCTACCAATGGGTATTGGCTATGATACCTAAGCAGAACCTCTAGAGTTGCAGGTAATATCTTACTGAATACCATTTGGTGGAGACCAACAGTGCAGAACCCTCTCCCAAATGGCCCATGCTAGACCAATTTTGTTAGACCTTGGAAGCGAAGCAGATTTTGCCCTGTGTAGTACTTGGATGGACAACCAGCAAGGAAGTACAGGGTCTATCCAAAGGCCAGCCACAGAAAACTATCTCTGAACTTCTCTTGCCTTGAACACCATAAGTCAGCTGCAACCTGATGGCAGTTCACATCATACACCAACAGTGCAAAATGATTACTGTCTTCAGGGCCTGCACTGAAACTAAGACTACTGCCTAAATAGATGCATTCAGCAATGAAGTATTCCTCTTTAATAAAATGTTTCTTATACTGGAATGTCTCATTAAACCGGTTATAAAGTTATCCTTTATTCCAACAAACCTGTTAGGTAGGACAGGGAGAAAGTGCTATTTTCTGAAGTTTACAGTGAGCTTCATGATTTAAGCAAGGATTTTAAGAAGGACATCTCATTCTCAAAGCTACGTCCTACAGTAGTGTGTATTGCTCAAATCTGCTGTAGCAAGCAGAGAATCCTGTGCAATATGACAAGGACAAGCGAAGTTTAATTTAACATATCCCAGCCAAGCAAAATGCACGTTAAACAGCCTTGAGCAAAAGAGCTTACAAAATTAGCTTGTCATCTTTAAGCTTGTACTACTACACCTTTACTACTTAGTCAGTGAGTTAACAGGGTTACATATTCTCAGCTAGCCACGAAGAATATGTTTAAAACAATATTTTATTGCAGTGTTAAAATGGAACCATGGGGCACAATTCTACAGCAGAAAATGGCCACGTATCAAGAGGTTAACTCGAGCAGCAGCCAAGCAGTTTCCAAACCAGGGGCAGGCAACCTCCAGCACCTGCCTACAGTAGTACACCAGACCATTTTGCTTGGTGCTCAGGGCCAGGTATCTGTTCAGGCAAATGAGGTACCAGCAGCACTGCTGGGGCCGGCAAGGCAGGAGAAGGAACTAGGAATGGCTTATGCCCATCTCCACCTCCCAAACCTTCACAGCCAGCTGCTGAGTGCTAGAGGCATATCTGGAGATGCTGGCAGTTCCTCTGGGGCCTGGAATGCTCCCAGCATGTCTGGCTCAGTAGAGCCCTCATCCACCCCCTTCCATGTCATTCTGATTGCCAGTACACCAACATCTTCCCAAGTAAGTGCTGCATTTTTTGGTCCTTGACCCAAAAAAGTCACTTACCTGTATGCTATGGAACTGTGGCACTGCAGTCTTACAGGACAACTTGTCATAGAATAACTGAGCCTAGCCTCAAGCATCACTTTGGCTATTTTCATGAACACAGATTTGTACAAAATTAGCACTAATTCACAAGCTATGGTACATACGTATTACAGAGATATCTTACACAATATGCAAGTGCGGCTTTACTGATAAAGCTGTATATGGTTGAATCAAAATGTTCAAATGTTTGGAATGTTCTGGTCGTAGACCATGAATAAAACCTATCCTATCCTACTACAGAAGTCACTACCATGTTTGTTTTGTAGAATATTTACTTGCAGAAAAGTGCCTAGTATAGATAAGGACACCCAAAAGACCATATGATCAGAGGGACCTTATCATTCCAGTCTTGGTTTCTTGGCCTACTTACACTGTCTCCCAATCTGTTTCCAGGCACAATTCAAGGCACTGATGTTGACCTTTAAAGCCCAGAACTATTTAAAGGAGGAAGCCCTTGAGTGGTGCTCAGAATGAGCATGATGCCATGTGAATATTCCCTTTAATTATAGGGCGTCCTGCTCTCCATGCAAATAAAAATATCCATGCAGGAGTAAACCTAGGTGGAAATAGTGCTTTCCAAGCTAAGTACTTTTTATCTCCTATTTGATTTTGTTGGCAGCTCATGTTCCTCCCTGTGAGCTGTTAAATTAAAAACCACATCAAACTAAGATCCAAAAAAAGCAAGCTAGTGCATTCCAGAAACTGATTGTTAACTGCCTTAAGGATTTTTAAAGTTAAAGATAAGACACTTTTAATTAAGAATGTTCCCAGCAACACAGTGCCTTTAATATCAATAGAGTACTGGATTTTTTATATGTACTGCTGTGACAGTAAGTTTGTGTATCAAATTCAAAACCACTCAAACATACTGCCACTTAGACCAGTTCTGTAGTATTCACAAGTAGTATTGTGAAGTATTGCTGCAGTATTGTTCCAAGACTAAAAGCAGTTACTGCCAAAACAAACAAACCACAACCTGATTAGGAATGATCAAAAACAAAGCTACCCAAGTTAGGAATTGGATATTTGCAGGCCTGCAGATACAGAGGACAAACAATAAACCTGACGACTATGGACTGTTTAGAAATAAAAATGATTGCCAACTATATTTAATGCTTATTACGTGCATCTCCTATCCACCTTCCAACATGTACATTTTCATGCAGTGTTACTCTCACAACCTCCTAAAACCTGTTTGCCCAATGGATTCCGGCTCAAAACTCACCCCTTGGCTCCCTCTCCCTAGGTTGCTCTCCAGCAGCTATGACTCAGCAATTCTCTTTCTTTAGGGCGGGGAAGAGCACAGCGCAGGTTCACAGCACATTCTCCTCTTATCTACTATGAAATAAGTACCCAGATAACCTTGCAACTATGTTGAAAATATATTCCAGGGCAGGGGAAAGTAAACCAAAAGTCCAAAACGGTCAAGAACCTAAGTATACTACATCAGATTTTCATTTTGCAAAAAATACTGCATTCAAACAAAAGGGGCGAAACTGTAAGAGCTGTTCCTTGCATTTGAAACGTCAGATGAAGCAGGATTTGCTGAATGATTTGGGGGGGGGGGGGGTTTCCATTCCCCAGACACACAACCCCCTCATTAGGCTTTAATAACTGCCCACCCCGTTTGTCTGTTTTGGTTGCACCAGAAAACTCCTTAACACGGGTCAACTGCTTCATAAACCCGGGTTAAAGCATAACTAGTCAAAAGCCTCCCCACTTGACTTTGCACGGGTTCAGCACCTTGTTTAAGAACAACAGCAAATTCATTTACAGCAAAAAGACAGCACTCTTAATACAACAAACTAACGGACCTTGTTTAAATTGTGCGGTAATCCAGACAAAGCCAGCGATAATTTGCGCGCCGGTGTCACAGAGCTCGGGAGTGCAAACAATACGTAGTCGTTTGCGCACCGGTTGCAGCGCTCTTTGCACGACGAGCCCCACGTGGAAGTTTTTTGCCTAGGCAGCATCACGTTTAAATTGGGCCCTAGCCGACTTGCACACACCGGCACCAGTGTTCCCTCTAAGCTGAGTTAGTGTGAGCTAGCTCAGTTTTTTAGCCTCTGGCTCACACATTTCTGTCTTAGCTCAGGAAGGATGGCTCCAGAGCAAACTAATTTATGCAGCAGCCAAATCTCCTGCTCACAACTTTAAGGCCAGTAGCTCACAAAGTAGAATTTTTGCTCACAGGGCTCCATAGCTTAGAGGGAACATTGAGCCAGAGTCAAGAATGGCAGCGCTGCGCATCTCTCAACAGACCGGGTCGTAACTGCGAAGCCAGAAATGCCATTGTAGAGGTCGCCCGCAGCAACGGCACACTGACGTACCGACGGATACTTTTACTTGTCACTAAAAAACGGTGCGCCTGCATTACCCACCCCTCAGGTTCCTACCCTACCCGCCGCGTTCCCAGGAAACCTTGAGCCGGGACGGAGGACTGCCGTGGGCAGGCTACCGTCTCAGCGCGCGCAGTGGTGGGCACAGCCACCGAGCAGGCCCTCCGCGCTAGCAGCCTGGGGCCAAGAAAGCGCGTTACGCTCCCGCCACACAAACGCTGGAGAGGGGGACGGGCCTTGCCTTCTGCTCAAAGTGAACGACGCCCTTGACTTGGGTCTCTCCGGTCAAGACACACACAGCCTTCAGCGTCGCCATATTTCTCCCGTCAACAGCACCTCCCGCAGACAAGCCGTTCGAGCGCCTACGCTGCCAGACCTACCCTTCCAGCAACTTCTTATAGCCTCCGGTTGACGTCTTCCTTCCAATCACAACGCCCGGTTTTGTTTCAATGCTCGCCTTCACGAGAATGTGCGGCCAATCAATCTGCAGCTTTTCTTCAACCGGAAAAGAACAAAAGCCTCCTCCCATACGAACTTCGAACATTCCCCCCATTTCTGATTGTGTGGGGTGGGTTTCTGGCCTGGAGACATTTCCCAGTTTGACCGTCATTGCTGAACAAAGCAGAGCTGTTCTCGATAAGCGGCTCAAGAATCACAACCTCCGTAAGCGTCCCAGGAGCAGGGCTAACAGGGAAGGGCAGCTCCCTTTTTGCCTCGGGCATCAGTGCTCGATGATCTCTCGGCTTCGATTTCCTAATCGTGGATTAAGTGGGTTATAGGTTGAGCTCTGTCTGTTCCTTGCTACATTTTCGCAGAATTTTCCTCTAGGGATTGCAAGGATTAAAGTATATGAATGACCTGGTGCAACTATTCTTTAGTGACTTGTTCTCAACGAAGCAAAATGCCTCCCTATCTTCTTTCATTTTGAAAGAGTGGCTATAATCTTTTGATTATTACTGTTGTATTTTCAAATAGTTTAAAAAAATCTACGTAGCTCAAAAATTACCCTGGGACCTTCATCAGTATGGCTTTATTTCCATATGCATTTCAAACATCACCAAATGTTTTACAGTTCTACTTTTATATTGTCAACAATTTCCATTGAAGCAGAAGGCTGCTTCAGGTGTTAGGCAGTTCCTCCAGCAAGTCCATATATACAGCCCATGTATATATGTCACATGACAATAGCAATCTGTAGTGTGCCTATATGTGTTGCAACTGGTTGGAGTTCCTCAGTTTGTGATTTAATATTCATGATGTAACCATCTGTATATGGGTTGCATATTTTTCCGGTGAGGTATTTCAAAACTTATCAAGCAATCCTGCGTGGCACTGATTTGACCAGAGCTGCTGAGCAGCACTGGAGTTGGACTCTCTTGCATTCAAATTCATCATTATTCTGCTGGTTTCCTGATAATGAAATAATGATTCATGGAACGTATGCTACTGCATGCTAGGGAAACGTTTCACTTGTGCAGCAGTCAGTATAAACAAAAGCAGTCTCTGCAGGTTGAGAATCTGGAAAGTTTTGACATACATATTTAACATATAATGCCTTATGAAATGGATTTATTAGTAGTCTACAGCTACATGCAATGAGCTGAGACAGAATCAGTGGTTCTGAGGCATTGTAAACAAAGTTAGAATCTCATTCTTCTTTTAGATATAGGCCAATTCACATGACTATCTTATTGTTCTGAAGACACGGAATGGATCCACACTGTTCATATGGCAATACAGCTGTATGATTGCCTCATCACGTGCTTAATTTGTAACTCAATCCCTGTTTACTGATGTCTCACTCAATCCACTTCCAGCAATTTTGTAATCACATAATTGTTTTACCAAATACTGAACTCTGTATTAATTTACTCAACGTTTGTCATGAACCATTGGCTTAGAGGACATAGGCTGATTATAATTTCCCTTGTTTTGTCAGAGTTTCTGGCCTCTGTGGATTTCCTACACTCTCAGGACTTCTTTTGTATTTAGCCCTTTAATCGGGACCATATGCTTAACAGACAATTTCTCTCTGTGGAGAGGGAACTAGTCCTTGTCTTCATGTCCAGAGCTCCTAGGGGAAATTCAGGACTCAAGACTGGTTCCTCCCCATTATTGAGGGAACATAAGCAAGGGGGCAGAAGCCTAGGGAAACTTATAAAACCCACTTTTCCAAGAATTCTGTATGAATTTCCTAGAGTTGCTATGGGTAAGAAAATAAGAAGTTGAAGAAGAGTAGGGTTTATACCCCGCCCTTCACTCAAAGTCTAAGAGCAGTTTACAATCTCCTTCCCTTCCTCTCTCCATAACAGACATCCTGTGAGGTAGGTGGGGTTGAGAGAGCTGCTCTTGAGAGAACAGCTCTGAGAGAACTGTGACTGACCCAAGATCACCCAGCTGGCTGCATGGGGAGGGGTGGGGAATCAAACTCGGTTCTCCAGATTAGAGCCAACCACTCTTAACCACTACACCAAACTACCCACCAAAAGTGGGTTTGTTGATTGGATCCAGGTTCTAGACCTATGTAATATAGGTGAATGAGCGATGGCTGAGGTGACTGCTTGAGGGACATCTCCCCCCCCCCCATGGCTACTTGACGGAAGCACCAGGGTCATGGGGCTGACCTGAGGATGAGCCAGGAGGGCAGCAACGGTAAGGGAGAGCATCAGGGTGTGGAAGGACCTAAACTAAAAAAATTATTTTAAAAAAAACCCTAAATGCTTCAAGGGCTGGCTGCAGCTCAAAGCAATGGTACCACTGCCTTCCTTCTTCCTGCAGGGTTCCAATGTTTCTTTTAAAACCACTGTGCTAAACTGCCCTGTTAACAAAAAAATTGCTCCCCCCACAAAAAAATTATAGCTACAGTACTGGGTGGGGGTTTTATCCCTCACAAGAGAATTCCTTTGGTCATCTTCTGGGCCTGCTGGTCAGCTGGCAACAGGCCTCGTTACTAGATGGGGCTCCTTAAAGGAGCCACATGGCCTTACCAGCACTGGTGGCCTTTGGAGCACTGTTGATGTTCAAGGGTCTGCCAGCTTCTCCTTGCAGACCAGCAGGGGTGGAACCATGTAGCTGGACCCACTGGATCTTCCAGGCTAACCAGGATGGGAAGAAAAGGGGGGGGGGGTTACACTGCATTAACTTGCTTTCCCAAGAATAATGCTGGGTCTAGTATAACCCCTAGGCAGTTAACTGAGTCAACAAAAGTTAGCTGAACTTCATCAAAAATGGGAAGCACTATGTCCTCAGGAAAAAAACCAATTTATTTTGTGCACACCTATTGATGACATCCAATTCCAAAACTACTAATGGTTTCTCCTAAGGGTTTTACTTTAAGATTGAATAACTTGGGGGATAAAACCACACTCTGTGGAACCCAACAGGACAAATCCCACATTGATGATCATTGGTCTCCAACAGCAAGTCTTTGAACCTGGTTTGTGTTGTATACCAAGCGAGACTGCACACGCGGTCGAACTCACACGTGGCCGGCTGAGCTTCGCTTCCGACAACAATAGAAACAGAGGATCCTAGGACTCACCAATCGGCCAGTCCGGATCCTAAAGGGAACCAGTGAGTGAAAGTAGTATTGTGTATTGCCTATCACGGGAGTGTGTGTGTGTGTTGGGTGTGGTTTGAATGAGAATATAAGCAGCCTGTGGGTCCCGCAAATCATCTCAAGTTCTCCATTTAACTAATAAAGCTATGCCTCAGTCTCAGTACTTTATAGTTTGTAAGGAATGATTTAAACCATTCCAGTGCACAGCCTTGATATCTATTTCTGCCTCCAAATGTCTCAATAAGATAGCACGGTCGACTCTATCAAAGGCTGCAGATAAAATCAGTAGGAGCAGTAAAGAGGCATGACCTTTTTGTCCATATTCAGACAGAGATAATAAACTAAAGCCATCAGCTCCATCTCTGTCCCATAGCCTGACCTGAAGCCAGACAAATGTATCAAGAGCAGTATTCCCTCTAAGCTGAGTTAGTGTGAGCTAGCTCACAGTTTTTTAGCCTCCGGCTCACACGTTTTTGGCTTAGACAGGATGACTCCAGAGCAAACTAATTTATGCAGTAGCCAAATCACTTGCTCACAACTTTCATGCCAGTAGCTCACAAGGTAGAATTTTTGCTCACAAGACTCCACAGCATAGAGGGAGCATTGATCAAGAGTAGATGCGTTATTCAAGACGGCCTGGAGCTGGTCTCTCATTGTTCTCTCAATCACATTGCTCAGAAAGGGCAGATTAGAGACACAGCAATAACTAGTCACATCTCTTTTCTGTAGCAGACTGATAACTGCCTCTTTGAGTGGCCAAGGGAAGTTGCCCTGAGTTAGTGACTGATTTATGATAAACATTAAGAATTCATTAATATCTCTAATTCCTCTCTTTATTTTCTAAAGTCTGACTTCCACTCTCAGAATTTCACCTATCCTGACTGACACTCTCCCTGTCAAATACAAAGGTCTCTGTCCTCTTCTGCCTTAATCTCCATGCTTTCTTTGATATAATTCACTCTTGCCTACTTGACTGGTATCCTGGCTCTCTTTTATCAGCTGCTTCTCTGTCTTATTAATAGCTTCTTCATTGTTCCCACAAGGGGAAGAGATGTTTTTTTCTCTGTGTTGGGATCCTCCAGATTTGCCTTCTATTATTTGTCTACATTCTGTCTTTGGATGATATCAAGTCCTATGACTTTTAGTACCACCTATACACTGATACTATACTATACAGGGAGCTGCGGTGGCTCAAGTGGTTAAGACGCTGAACTGCAGGCTGTGGAAGGTCGGTAGTTCAGCAGTTCGAGACCCAGGTGCCGCATGACGGAGTGAGCTCCCGTCTCTAGTTCCAGCTCCTGCCAACCTAGCAGTTCGAAAGCAAGAAATTGCAAGTAGATAAATGGAGGTTCTTCCTGGTTCGTGGGGTAGGTTCGAGGGGTATCACAAACCACAAACCTTTCCATTTATCGAACCAGTTCATGTTGTGAGGTTTGTGATGCAGTAGAATGGTCCCCCGTGGGCTAGAGATGCCAAACTTGCAGTGAGTCTCCAGCTGACTCTCCTCTACCTGCCTCCAAGTTTGGTGAGGATTGGATTTAGGGGGGGCAGTTACAGCCCCCCAAAGCAGGTGCCCCCAGGAAAGTGTTCTCTGTGGAAATCACAGCTGCATGTTCAGGAGTATGTCGAATAGTCCCTCTGCAAGCCAGAGGCATCAAACTTATAGAGGACCTTCCTGGGATTCCCCTCTACCAGCCCTACAAGATTGGTGAAGATTGGATTTAGGTGGGCTGAGTAGCGATCCCCCAATCAGGTGCCCCCAGGAAAGTGCTCTCTGAGGAAACCACTCCCACAGGTTCAGGAGGAGTGTGTTAAATGACCCCC